GGGGGCGGGCGCGCGCCAACCTCTGCTTTCCACCGGCACCACGCAGGGTGCCAGCCTCTCCCGCCTTGACGCCACCCTGATGCCACCCTGGCACAGGAAACAGCGAGTGCTTCCGACCCGGAGACAACGCCTAAGGCAGACGCCGCTCCACACGCGGGCTTCTCAAATAACAGCCCACGACGCGCCGCCATGCACAGCGGGGACGCGGCACTCACACGACCCGCCCTGCCCACGCCCGCGGAGGAGTGAGGGCAACGCGGGCATCGGCGTTAGCGCGGACAGGTACTGACGGGACCAGACACGCTGGCCGCGGCCCGGCCCTCAATGGTGTACACAAGGTCGCACACAGCTGTCCTCAGGGCTCCCAGGCGGCGCTGGGCCCGAATCGGGCTGGGGAGCCTGGGCTCTGACCCGTCGTCGAAACTTAAGACACAAACCAGGGATTATTACGTGAAAGTGTCTGGGTTTTTAAATAATGATACAAATTTTGTGTGTGTGTGTGTGTCTTTTTTGAGACAGGGTCTCGCTACGCAGTTCAGGCTGGCCTATGAGCTCATTTTGTGGCCCAGGCTGGTCTCGCACTCACATCGATCCTCCTGCCTCAGCCTCCCGAGTGCTGGGATGACAGGTGTTCACCACCACACCCGGCAATGATACAATTTTTTAAAAGAACTTTCAATGCTGTATAGCTGTCTGCGACTTCTGGCGTAGACCATTGACACGAGAACGATTACAGGCTGCAGAGCTTGACGCTGGCTTGCCATCAGGGAAGGCTTTCCGAAGGAGGCCAACTTGGAGGGGGCCTCGAGAGCCAGACAGGGTTAACAGGCTGGGAAGTGGGCAGGCCCCCTTCGGGAGCAGCGGGCTGAGCGAAGAGCCCGAGCAGCGAGCTTAGAAACGTGCTCCACCCCTCAGCTCTGGCAGGGGGATGAGCGCGCACGGCCCAGGGAGACGAGACGGAGGGACCTGGCGACAGGGCTGAGGCGTGAGACGGCTCCAAGGCGGAGAGGGACGCGGGAGAACAAGAGCTGGCGGGGGGCGCTGCGTGAGGGCAGGGAGTCAGAGTGAGGGCCTTGGAGGGGAGGAGCGGAGGCAGCCAGGTCGGCGCAGGGCAGGGCTCGGAAACGCCGTCCCACAAGAACAGACTGAGTGAGATGAGGAAAAAATGTCAGCAGGAAAGGTGACCTAGGCCACGAGAAATAGCAGGTTCTGGCCAGAGGCCCCTGGTCCTCCGGGAACGGTAGTGGGCAAGGGCGGAACGGGCGTGGGCAGCAGGCTGCCAACGGTGGGAAGGCCGTGGCGGTGCCAGGAGGGAGGGAGCCATCCACACAGCCTGCTGACACCGAAGGAGAGGAGGCTGGACAGGCCGCGGGGGCAGGGTGCGTGGAGGGCGGGGCGGTGAATTCCAGCTCGGGGCAGGGGCGGCCGCAGGAACCGGAGGCACGCTCCAGCTCCCTGTTCCATCCTGAGCGCCTCCCTGCCCACAGGGCCTGCGACCGTATCTCTCCAGGGAGAACAGCCATGGGAAACATGTAAGCAGGCCTGTCAGAAACCTTATCAGCCCCGTCTTCCCAGACTGGAGGCCACCGAAGACTACGATAACAAGGGCTACCTTTTGCCGCACGCAGGGCCCAACCCACAGCGAGTGTCTGTCTTAGTGCTCTGAACTCGCCCTGGAAGGCCGACCGTCTGCTACTGTGACTCCACATCATTAAACAGGAGCTAGGAGATGAGACAGTTCGGGAAGCGAGCGCAGCTCGTCCTGGGAGGAACAGCAGAGCGATGAGACGCGCTGAACCTGATGCTGCTGCAGACCTGACTACGGAGTCGGCGAGGGAGCAACACAGAATCCCTCATGATCCACTTTCAGGCACCAAGCCAGAACCTGTTACCCTCCCAAAATGTACGCGAGAAGACGGGGCATTCTTAAGCATGTCGGTGTGTGCGCTCAGCCACCCACCCTCAGGCACGGTCACGTGGTCAGCACACTGGGCTCCTGGTCCGGCCCCCTTTCAGCTCAAAGTCAACGGTTCCCCAGGGGCCCTAAGCTCTACATGACAAGGGCAGGCCATGAGCAACGCACAGCTGGCCCCTGGCAGAGGTTGGGGCCTGCATCCAGATTCAATCAACCGCCCATCAAAAATATTTAGAAAAATCCCCCCCTCCAAGTTCCCTGTACTGCCAGAGATTTAGCGCAGGCCGGGGATTTAGCTCAATGGCACAGCACCTGCCTGGCAAACAAGAGGTCCTGAGTTTGGTTTCTGGTACCTTCTCACACAAAAAAATTCACTGTACTGAACATATACAGACTGTATGTGCTTGTCATTATCCCCTAAACAACACAGTGTATAACAAACTATGTAGCACTTATGTTGTACAACATTATACATAGTCCAGAGAGAACCTAAAGTATGGAAGAACATGCGCACAACACAAACGTGTGCAGGATCTATGCAGATACATACAGGCTATATGCAGATATATGTGTTAAATGCAAATGTGTGGTATCTATGTAAATATGTGGTTATATGCAAATACCACACTACTCTGCATAAAGGACTTGAGCAGTCCCAGACTTTGGCACCCACAGGGGGTCCTGGAACCAAGAGATGCTAAGCAACGACTGATACACTACTATATCCAAAGATGACAAAGCAATTTCTTCCTCAGTAACTTCCGTTGATGTCTGCTTGATAAACACCCACTGATAAATCGGAGAGAAACAGAACCAAAAGCTTTCAGGAAGAGGAAAACTTTAAATGTCCCACTTTAAACACCAGGGGCAAGTTCAATCTGTGGGTCAAGTCTGCCGTGTGCTTGGAGACAGTGAGCACCGAGCACTGTGAGAACAGGAGCCTTCCACTAAGACGGGGAAGGGCCTGAAAGTAGCAGCCTCAGCCTTGCAACTCAGTAACGACTATGAAGGGGCCGGGATGTTACACCAAGATGGCTTGTAACATTCTCTTAAGTTTTGAAACACTTGCTCTGGAATGGATGCTCTCAGAGTCACAGGGCAAGCTTCAGCCCTGTGGAACAAGTAATCGATTTAGAAAAGGACATTAAATGCTAAAAATTTTTCAGGTCCATAAAAGAGAAAAAAACCCACACACAAATCCCCTGGGGCCAGTTTTCCCTTCAACGGAAGGTTTCAGAAGAACCGCAGCTGTCCCATTAGTGGGTTAATTCGGATTTGGAAGAAGTTAGAGCGCAGCAAGAGCCGGAATGGCTGGGGAGTAGCACCCTTGCAGGCGGAGGCGGTCCCCAGGAAACGCATGCACGAGTCGGGAGTCAGCGGAGAGAAAGAAAGAGGCAGAGGGGGCGGAGGAGGAGGTGGAATCGGCCAACACACAGGTTACATTACCTTGATGGGCTCGCATTTCGGGAAGGGCCTTTTCTAAGACTGCTAATGCTTTTCTATGGTAATCTGCTTGGGCTTCTAATAACTGAGAACAGACCCACATTCAAAAACAAAAGTAACGTTAGCATCAGAGGGACACACATACAACGGCTGAGCAAAACTAAAGATGAACAATTTTGCAAAACTAAAACGACTCCATTTTTCACAATGCGCTAACTCCCTGTCACGGGAAGGCGCTCACCGTAACAAAGAACTTGCCGTACTCTCCTTCTTTGGCCATGAAGTTGTACATGTCTGCCGCGAGCTGATCCTGGGGAGTGGGAGAGGAGACTATTAAAAACGAAAGAAAAACGCATCTTCTTAGATCAAAAATGATGGACAGCCACAGATGAAGTGTCTATCAACCGAAAAGCCAGGCGTGCGGGCGGGTGCCTGTCATCCCAGCACGGAGCGGCTGACGCAGGAGGAGGACCGCAAGCGCAGACCCCGCTTGGGCAAAGTAGGGACTTAGCAAGTTAGGGATTTACCCTGGTTAAAGTAAATTAAGTACCTCTTTTCTCAAAATTAAACATAAGGAACTGTTCCTTGTAACAACCACTGGTGAAATCCTACCATCCTGATTAATGAAACTTTTCTAATGTTTTTTAAATTGCTTTTTATTCTCTTTAATGGTTTGATCAATCTTGCATTCTTACACCTGGTAATCTCAGCAACTTCACTGAAGGTAACAGTATGTAATATAACAACCACTGTTCATTTCCTATCTTGTATTGAAATTCTGTATTTTTATTTTTGTGCTTTGTTTCTGTGTTTTGTTCTTTTCTCTTTCAAAGAACCTTTAAAAAAATTTTTTTAAGTATTAAAGGCATGGAGCTGGGGAATACAGCTCAGTGGCACAAGTGCCTGCCTGGCCAGCACAAGGTCCTGAGTTTGACTCCCAGCACCAAAAAACAAAACAGCTTCTCAAGTATTAAAGGCATGACTCCTATAAGTTCAGTTTTAATTTCTACATAATATGTCATTTTAAACAGTTCACTCTGCTTAACAGATGAAGATTTACTCTTCTGAAGAGGGAATTATACAGCATGACCTGAAAACACTAAAATATAACATTCCTTAACACCATTTAGTAGAACAGACAAGTTTTGGAAGATGTAAGAGCGAAAAAGTATCTGTCAATTAGCCTAAGGTGTTAACCAAAGACTTGTGTCTTTATATAAATAACATAAATAACATTGAGAATAAATACCAAACTACACAGATGCATTAAAAATTCTATCATTTAACCATCGCATTAATCTAAAATTTAATTCATGAGATAAATTATTTCTTCCAAGTTACAAACGAATTTTCCTAGAACATTTAAAAAACTCCGTCACTATATGTTCACTAAATTACTATACATTAAATCTTGTAATCTTATTTAGAAAACCTCTCCTACTCATCTATTTTTGTATCTACTGCGCACTGTTTTCACGGTTGAAACTTTTGTTATGGGATTTTTTTCTCTACCTCTTTCAAATAAACTTAACCAAGATTTTAAAATAGCCTCAAATCTTTATTATTCTAGATGTAAGAGGTATTAGAACTCATCCCTAAAAATACTTTTTCTACATAAGTTTTATTTTGATTATAATATAGCACTGGAAAAGAAAGCATATAGAAACTGCTTTTTATATCATTCAGAATCTGGTAGGAATTATAGAAAACATGATCTGCAACACTTGTCTCATTTGCAAAAATTAAACGCTGACAAATACACACATTTCCTAGGGAGCGCTCATACCTTGCACTGCTCTACTTTATTTCCAGCTTCATCCATCTCTTCCTTTAGGGTATCTATTTTTGACGGAAGCCCCTGGAAGTTGGCGCCTGAAGACTTGTGTGCTTGGTTCCACCTGCAAAAGCAAGGGGTGGCAAGGGCTGTGGCTACAGCTAGCTCAGCGGCACAAGCGCCTGCCTGGCAAGCACAAGGTCCTGAGTTCGATTCCTGGTACCAAGAGGAAGAAACAAGGGCGGGGCAGCCAGCCTCTGAGCACGACTGGACAAACCCAACTTCAAGGAGTCGGGTCCAAAGGGCGGGGACAGAGCCTGCCCCAGCACGGGCTCTACCCGGGAAAGAGGTTCAGCACCCAGGACAGCTGCTTGAGCGCATTCTCCACGCAGCGGGTACACGCCGACGTCAGCTTCCCACCAACGCAGGACCCTCCCAGCGCTGGGGAGAGCATCCGGCCGCATACGGACCCCACTGCTAAAAAGCTGTCCACGCAGCCCCTCTCCTCACGTGCCCAGTGAGACTTCCTGCTCTCCTGCACTGTTCCCATGCCTGGGCAGACAGGTCCTGCTCTTAAGGACCCCTACCCAGGCATCCTCTACATCTGCGACCTATGGTTATTTTTAGCAGGTAAAAGCCAAACTTCAAAATGTACCCTATGAAAGCAATTACAAAAATTGTTCATAGGGAGATAGGTGGAATAATCTATAAGGGTTTTTCTGGCATTTAAATGTGCTTTGGCCTCCTGTTTGATATGGATGGATCTGGGTTGTGAAACATTCTAACACTTCACATTTAAGCACAGATTATGAAGATGCAGCATGAAGCACATCAGCAACCAATCGACTTCTCAGACGGCTACATGGCCTGCAAACACCCACTTCTGTGCATTTCCCGTGCCCGCTGTGACACACACACTTCAGCAAGGACAGCAGAGCAACACGGGCAATGCTATTTCCGCTATGCGTGGACTTCAGTCTCACAGGCTCCACCTTCCAGAGGCTCCACCTTCACCAGCGAAGTGACCCAGTTAATGACAACCTGTGTCTCACTCGCATCTGTAATGATGACCACAGTCTGGCTTGAACTGGCAGAGACAGAACACGTGTGTGTGTATGCACAACGGGTCCTTACCTAGTATTTTGTACAGGGAGAAGCTATAGGGTTAAATCTAAAGAAAAAATATTCAACTGCTTCAGTTTTTTTTCCAATACCTACTTTGGTTAATTAAGCAAGTCAGACCATAAACACAATCAGTATCAAAATCTTCTATTAGGGGCTACATGTACTCAACTTATAAAATCCCTTGCAGCTAAACATCTGTAATATTGCTTGACCAAACCCAGTGTAGGAGTCCTCACAGGCTTTAATCACTAGAACATTCTCTTCAGTAAAAAGTGGTGTAAGGTGTGATCCACATCCTCTGGTCTGGCAGCGCTACACAGGATGCTAACCACACATATACATATGACAAGGACACAGACACTGCTGTCAGAATCCCAGCTCTGCCACTTATGGCCTCTAAGGCACAAAGCAGGCCTTACAGATGATACATGCAGGTCCTCCTTTATCTGTAAAGCGAGTTTCTTCTCAAAAGCAAGGGATGCTATGTATTAGCCCCAACCCAGTCCCTCTGCCACTAGAACTGAGGGTCCTCTGCCTTTAGCATCCAGCACATCTGACACAACTGTCTGTGAAGACAGAGCTAAACGAATGGGCAGAGACTGTTGGGAGAAGTGAGGTGCCGTAAGTGTACGTAGATCAGTATCTGGCGAATGTCCAAGTGACACCCTTACTTAGGAACTGCCTTCATCGTTCTCACCGTGCGTGCGTGCCTAGATGGACCTTTTATTGTCACATTTCTCAAGCCAGGACACAGCAACTGATTGGTACATCTGATGGGCTGGGGCTTTTCTTCTCAAATAAACGGATACTGAGTGAGTGACACATCTAACACCTGACAGCAAGTGAGAGACAAGAAAGTGCAGTACTGTTACAGCCACTTCCTAATCTTGATCAAAGCAGCCAACACAGAGAGCTCCAGCAACGGCAGCTACCTCGCCACACAGTGGCCGAACAGAAGTCGTCGCATCCCCTTCACAGAGCGGCAGTGAGCTCTGAGACGATCCACAGAAGCGGAGCCGGCAAAACCGCCTGCTTTTGTGAGTGAAGTTTTACTGGGGCACAGACGCGCTACTCACTTCCGCACGGTCCGCACCGGCCTCCAACTCCCTCCCCCGCCTCCTCTCGCCACCCAGGCCTCAGGCGGGTGCACGCAGTCCACACTGCGGTAAAGCCTCAGCCCCCTGGGGCTGCTTTCACCGCCGGAGTGTGTAACCGGAGCTCACGGTTACCACAGCGGCACCTGGGCTGCAGGGTCAGACGTGTACTCTCTGGCCCTTTGCAGAAATGTGTCGCCCCCTGAGGGTGGAGGACGAGAAAGGCCGAGTCTGTGGGTGCTCGCTTCCGTTTTCAACCCTTTCCACCCGCGACGAAAAGCACGTTAAGTCACGTTAAGTCACCGATTCAAAGTCCTCTAAGGACAGAGCGGGGGTGGCAGTCCCGTCCCGGATCCCTCCGGCTCCACTGCAGACGAGAAGCCCACAGGCCAGCAGCCTGCGCACCGGGGACAAGAGTCACACAAGCCCTGCCCGCGTGAGCCCAGCACTGCTTGACTGGGGAGGGACATCACAGGTGCGTCAGGTGTGTGGGGTGTGAGATGGGGCAGGCACAGCATCACACATCTGTCCCTGCGCTCTTAGAATTGGTGAGCCCATCCTCTCTCCTGTTATTTACTCCGTTTTCTTTCTTTTTTTGTTGTGTCCTTTTACTACCGGCTCACTGAAGAGGCACTGTCCTAACACTCCCACTGCCAAGCTGGAGAGGAAGCGGCCTGAGGCAGGGCAGACGGGCTGTGACTCGGTCAGCAGGGCCAAAGCATGAACTTGTGACAGCACCCACTCCGGGCCCTCGGCTGTCCTCCTCGCGTCTGTGGCGGGCACACCCCGTGACGCACTACCGGCTCTGCGGACAGCTCTACCTTACCTAGCTCTGACCGAATCCCAATCCAGCACCAATCTGGCAAGCTGCTTCCTCTGCTTCTGGATGTTGGGAATCTCCACCTAGAAGGAAGAATATACCAATGGGATGTATGTTGGGGTTTCAGTTTAACGCTTTAAAGTATTTACAAATTTTTTCCTTAGGCAAAAATCTTCCATCAAGTTCTTTCCTGTATTTCCAAAGAAAGAATGTGCGCTAAAGGCACTGATTATTAAAATCTCGGGCACAGAGGAACCGTTCGCCAGGCAGCCCGGGCCAGGCTCAGCCCCTGTGCCGCCCAGGCGGGCACCCACCTCCGCTATGCTGTAGAGCGGGTCCACAATCTCCTTCTCAACCACGACTTCATGCTGAGAGAGCTCCAGAGCCAGCTGATTCTCGGCATCTCCGCACGTCTCCAGCATCTTCCTTTAAAAACAAGACCCCCACATCAATGCGCGCCCGTTAAACAGGCTCTAGACTCTTCTGTGGTTGCCGCTCTGCTTGCCATGACAGGGACACAGTACAGCACTGCCCAACAGAGCCGTCCAACTGTTACACGATGCGCACAGTTAGCACCTTAAATTTGAGTCAGCAGATCTGTGCTGTAAAATGCAGACGATTCTTTCCGACGTGGACTTAGGGAAGTGTAACTGGTGAGGTGAGCTCCCAACCTACTCATGGGTTAGGTTCCCGTGTCGGGTGAAAACTCGGTGTTCTCGAATACCCCGGAAATCTCTGAGAACACACGGAGGCCGTGGCATGTTCTTTTATGAATGCTGGTGAGTCCCGCCTCGGGGGTGTTCACACGGAAACCGGCGCTCTTGTGCAGGTGGGGTAACTGGCTACCATTTAGGGCCATTTTGCATGAACATCCTGCCGCCTGATCGCAGCTGGTGGCACACGAGCACACGCTCCAGTGAGGTCATTCCACGGTCTCGGGTCCTCTCTCCCCTTCCCTTTCGGCCCTGACCCTCCAGGGATCTGCGCAGCTCACCTGGCATTAGGGGGTGGGTGATGACAGGCGGCCGCAGTTAAGCTGCCCAAGTTTGAATAGAGGCTTCACTGTCCCACAGCTGGGTGGTCTCGGGCAACTTTTTGCCCTGTCTGGCCAACACCCTCATCTGCCAGGCGGAAGCATTCACCCGCCCCGCTTCCTAGGCGGGCTTGAGGGTGAGGGCAGTTACTTGGAAAGCACGGCACAGGGCTGGCCGCAGCACCGGCCTGGGGTGAGGACAGCGCGCAGCCTGAGAAGCACGGAAGTGCAGGGAACGGGGCGTCAGTGCGCGGCACACCAGCCGCTCCCCCAGGGCCCGGGCCCCGCCCTCAATACGGGCGCCTGGACAGCACAAGGCGGGTGGTGCGCGGGGGAGGAGAGCATTCACCTCCAGAGAGCAACATAAAGACGCAGATCCTGGGGAATAGGGTGAGCAGCCCAAAAGCCACGCCCAGCTGGGAAGCAGGCAGGATTAAGGGACACCAGTCACTGGGTAAGCAGCGAGGAGGACAGGTAAACCTTCCCTCGAACAACGAAAACTGCTTTCTCTTCAGCCTTTTAAAAAATTATTTAAACAATTCATGCCCATTTTCATTTTTGTTTCAAGACCGGGTCTTGCTTATATATTCCAGGTTAACCTCAGATCACTATGTAGCCCAGGCTGGCCTCAAACTTGCAGTTGAGCCTCTGGCCTCAGCCTCCCAAGTGCTGATTATGGGCGTACGCTACCACACTTGGCTCAACTTGCCTACTGCAAAAAAGAAAAACCCCACAGTGGGGTGCACTGGAGAATAAAGAGAGGATAGTTAACAAGTATAAGGCCACAGCTGCATAAGAGGAGGGACTCCTAAGCCCCACAGTTCAGCAGGAGAGCAATTAGTTACATGTTTCAAATGGCTAAAAGGGTTCTGAATGTTCACAAGACATGTCAAGGAGAGCTGTCTGAGCTGACAGATACGCCAATTACCCTGACATAACCCACATGCACTGCACTACCGTACCCCCAAAATAGGTACAGTTAGGTGTCAATTATAAAATACAGTTTGACAAGTCAATTAAAAATTTTAAGTTAAAACAAGTAATTCAGAAACTACATTCCTCTGAGACAGCCACCACCACTGTTTTGATGATCACCCTTAGGGGTAAGAAGGACTTGTCAGGGTATACACCTGAGTCACACCAGAGTGGAGGAAGACCAAGTTCCTCACACCCACGCTCGGGGGAATATGCACCGCCATGATCCAGCACTCTCGTCAGTGGCGCGCTCTGCCTCCTTCCAGCCTGCCTCCTGCTAAAGGGAAGACTCCCCAGTAAAGCAGCAGTTGTGACCTGCATTCCTCCACAAGGTCAGGCTTCTATCTAGGCAGACGGGCCATGCCATCATGCTGGAAGCCCCTCTGGTCCCACTGGGGCTCCTGTGCACCAGCCCTTAGGACCAACTTACCCCAGGAGAGATTCTTCCAGCTGAGTTGAGGCTTCTTGCATATTCTGAGCAAGTGCTGTCAGGGGGAGTTTTTTCTGGAAGGGAAAAAGACACTGGTTTTGGTTTTCTTTTTCATTTTCATTACTGTCTGACCCTTTCTCCACGATCTTCACTGATCTCTCCCTCCAGGCAAACTGTGCAGAAAAGGGAGGCCTGGTTCTGGTTCCGTTTCTAATCTCGCAAGAACCATGGTGTGACTTCATCTCCAGGTCTCAGCTGGGGCTGCTGACTAAAGGGGACATTTAATATCAAGTACCTAGCGCATCGTATGTACTTGGGAAACATGAGCTGCTATTTCTGTTGTTCCTGCTGTCACTGTTACTAATTAATCGAGCACATATGGTTTATGGGCCACTTCTCTGAAGTGCCTGTGACAGATGTTTTGGTGCTTGGAATTTTTTGGACTTTGCGGTACCTGCACAGACTTCACCAGCAGAAGATCCCTTAAAACTGAAATCTTCAGTGCTCCAAACCTGAATGCTCTGAGTCATGGCATTAGCACCAGCACAGGTTTGGAGACTGAGATGCTCAGCCTGTACTGTGTTCCGGGCACACAGCTGGCTCTCTGAGCGACTCACAGGTAAACGCAGTCAAGGACTTGATTTCAAAAATGCTTTTGCTAGGACAAGCTTTTTTTTTTAAACAGTGAGACAGGGCCTCACTGTGTAGTCCAGGCTGACCTCATGGACCTGAACTCATTATGCAGCTCAGGGTGACCTTGAACTCGGGGATTTCCCCTGCCACACCCCCTGAATGCCAGGATTACACGTGTGTACCCCATACCCAGTTTTTAGACCATTCTTAAATGGGGTCTTCACTTGGCTGTAATCATAAAATTTAGCTTTAAATATCTAAAAATACCTTGTTAAACATCCAAAAAAATTTGTCTAAAGTTAAGTATAAACCACATCATTTTCCTATCTGAGATCTATTTTTTTAGCCAGCAATGACCACAGGATCACTTCACAGTCAAAGAACTCAAACTCCAGTGAGTGGCCAGGTCCTCCAGAGAGGGGCAGGAGGGCAGGACTCTGTCCTGATGGCCTGAGCCCCAACTTGGCATCTTTTCACACGGCTGGATGGCTCAGAATGAGTAGAGGTGGACTAAAAAAGTAACAAGCGAGCTGGTTGTAACCAGCTGACAAAAGACGCCTTCACTCCTGCAGCTCCTCATGCAGTCTGGCCTTCCCAGCAGAAAGGGCTCTGGTGTCAAGTACACGGTCTTCCCTGGCCTGTCACTCCGAAGAGCTCCCCCGACACACCTGTGCCTGGACTGTGCCAGAGACGACCTCTCTGCAAGGCGTCCTAGGGGCTGCTAACACTGGTGGCTCCCGAGGAGGGTGCGGGGTGCCTGGGGAGCAGGGCTGGGAGAGACTCCGTTTTGTCTTCTATATTTTGAGTATGTCATTATAAGACCAATGCAAAGAATAAAATAACCAATCTGGCCCTCCCTCGGAGGCGTTTTCGAGTAGCGCGCTCCTTCTCGCCTATAAAGAGGCTGCCAGCGGCTGCCACACTTCTAGACAGGAAGGCAGGAGCCACAGGCCGATCCCCGCATTTCAATCGCAGCGAGCCTCGGTTCAGATTTAATTCTCCCACGCGTCTGGCAGCAACCGAGCTGCGAGCACAGCACGGGTACGTGTGCAGTTCGGCCGCAGCCAGAACCACGGAAGACTGAGTTCGTGAACCAAGGCACCACGGCACGCCGACCTCCAAAGGAAGGGGAACCGTGAGACGAGCGCAGCCAGCGAGAGAGAGACTCGAGCAACCTGGAAGTCTGCGTCTGGTGGGGGAAATCGGTCTACTCTGACAGGGTCGATCGAGACCCCAGATGCAGACAGCCTTCTGGTTCCCACGTCCTGCTCCCGAAGCCAGTCCTCTCCTGGCGACACACGAGGGGATTCTGCTGAGCGCACACGCGCACTGGTGAGGCGCGGCCCACCGACAACAAGCTCCATGAGAGGCCGCACGCTCCCAGAGCTGACCAGCTCTTCTTTCGTCAGGGATGAACTTCCGAGGTCTTGATTTGTGACTCCACGCCCACTACACAAGAGAGGTAATCCGAGCTCCTGAAGGGCCCACGACGTACGCTCTGCCACGCGGTGCAGGCTCAAGCCCAGAAGGCCCCCGGCTCCCTCTCTCCGCTCCAGTCCCTGCCCTCCGGGGAGCTCGTGGCGCACGTGTCACGCGTCCTGCAGTCCTGGGGGCTGCTGTGACTCTCACTACACGACCTCGCCTGGCTATCTGCCTTCTCCCAGCACCGTCATGGCAACTCTTCCTCCCTCTCCTCAGAGCCCTGTCTTTAGCACTCCGGATTGATGTTGGAAAAGGAAAAAGCACGCGTGAGGTTTTAGAAGCAAGGACCCAACCACCTGTGCTCCTGCTGCGTGAAATATTCCCATCACGGCCACTAATTCCCTTCCTTCACAGCGCAGCGGTGGCCGCCTCCAGGAAGCCTCCCTGACTACCTCTCTCCCTGCCGCGGACTCTGCTCCGGCTCTTCCATACTCTCCTGTGCGGGGTTTATGTACGCTGTTGTTTTACTGACCACCTGCCCAAAGCTCCTTCACCAGCCATGAACACTGACACTTTGTTTTGTGTCTCTAGCACTCATACACGGTACAGGTGCTTGACAAGTTATTTTTGCAGTGAGCATGTTAAAGCAGAGGTCAGCCCATCACCAGGACGTGGCTGCGTGACGGACAGTGACCTGCATGGGCCCGGGGTGCAGTGGCGGCTGGACTACAGTGTGGCCTAGAGTGGGGCTGAGAGGCACAGCACAGGGAAGCGGGTGAGGCAGAACTGGATCAGACTACAAAGGTGAAGTAATGCGAAAGGCTGGGACTTTGCCCCGGGCAGTGGAACCAGCCTGGCCCCTCAGAGGCAGTACCAGGCCATTTCGGGGACTTCCCTGTGTGGGACTAATTCAGCAGGTGTGACAGAACATCAGCATCTTGGCTCCCAGCCCTCAAATCCCAGAAGCGTCTCCAGCCCCAGTGGCAATGCAAACTGTCTCTGCACTTCCAAATATCCCCAGGAAGCAATTCTGGTCCCTGTTAAAAACCACCGAAGTTTTTCTCTACGTTGTTTGAGGGTTTTGTCTGCTTTGGTTTTTTAGGCAGGAGGATGACGGGCCTGATCTGTACTTCCGGCCACGGACTCTGGTATGGGGCCGAGGACAGATGGGGAAGGGGAAACCAGGGGCACGAAGTTAAAGCTCGAGAGGGGACTCCAGCAGTCCCCATGGGAGCTAATCCAGTCCTTCGTCAAGGCAAGTGGCAGAGACAGCAGAGATGACAAATTTGTTTACAGAGAGGATCACAGGACTTGCTAGTCGGGCAGCTGGGGGAGGGCGGGGAATAAAGTAAAAGAAGACGAGATAACCCATAGCTGCTTTTTTGGTTTTTTTCTAGTACTGGGAATCAAACTCACAACCTTGCGCTTGCCAGGCAGGCACTGTGCTGCTGAGCTAAATCCCCAGCCCCCAACCCATAGCTTCTTGTCTGCATAAAAGGGGGGGCAAAATTCCGGAGTGTCAACACAAGAGGAAGAGCTGCTCCCAGATGCCGAGGTGGACTTCTGAGGCAGGGATGTTTCTGTGATGGAGACGGTTTCAGAGTCACGGGCATAAACGTGTTAGAAGCCAGAGGAGAAGAGTGGGCGTGGCTTAGAGAAATGGGGAGGCCAGAACCTGCGGGACAACAGTCCCCGGGCAGGCAGAAGGGCGGCGGGTGCAGCTCGGTGCAGCACTAGCCTAGCACGCGCACACCCCGGGTCCTATACGTGGTACCACTTCCAAAACAGAAGCAGAGCAGAAGCCCAGGCAAGGCGGTGAGAAAACGTGGTGGGGGCGGAGTCGGGGGGGCTGCTCTGGTGCTTAGGGGTTGAGTCAGCAGCGAGCATTCCTGGAACCGTGGGCGCATGCAAATGTCTACTCGGGATACACACGACTGCAGACTCCTACTAAATACTGTGCAAGGAGGGGTAACCCCGTCGGCAAGGTGCCCTACAAACGCCGGTAGGAAATACAGCATGCACGTTACTTCTGAGACCTGTGGTAACAAGCACAACACGGCAAACCCTGGCCTCCCAGCGTGCCCCTGAGATCGTCACCCTAACGTGGCCGCTCAGGCAGAGCACACACTCTGAGCTGGGGCGTACAGAGGCAAACACAGCTGCCTAGTGCGCAGTGTCCTACTGGTGGCCCCTGGGCACAAGCGTGCCCAGCAGTGGACCCGACGGCCCTCCCGGAGTCCATCCCTCCTCTCTAGAACAGCATCCTGACTTCTGAGGCGCCCGCCCCAGCCTCAGGAGAGCCCTTGAGCCGAGACCGGAAAACAACCCATGCTCGAGGGCTGGGCCCAACCAGTTTAAGCCTGCCAGGGCATCCCACGCCCTCACCCCGCCCATGGTACCAAGGATGGAACGGGCACCTTCCCGGATGGGGTCTGCGTCGTGACACAGACTGATGCCATGGGAAGGGATTCCGTCTGCTACAGCGTTTTTCTCACCGCAGTAAGAAAAACACCAGAAGAGAGGCTCTACCCTGGGGGACACAGGGTAGCACGAAGTCCACGGACACCGACCGTGGCCAAACAAGGCACAGGCGCCTGTCTATGGACAAAGCAGACACAAAGGCACAAGGGAGAAAAGGAATGCAAAGTAGACCAAGCTTTACCTCGGGGCATTCCACTCCCCACACTTTTCAGCAGCCGAGTCCATAAATTACTTCTCCTTCCTAAGTCAGTTTAGAAGAGGCTTTCGGACTTTTGCCAAAGGATTCCTAACTGACATATTCATTCTCTCCTTAATGATTCATTGTTCACCAGGTCTTTAAAGGCACCCGGAGAAGATCAGGTGAGCAGGGCTCTCGGCCCAGCAAGGTCTTAAGCAGGAAACACTTGCGGTCAGGAACTGTCCGTCATAGCATGCGCAGGGACAGAGGCACTGACCCGAAGTCCGACTGTTGATGCTGCTTGGGAGAAGCCACCCAGCCAAGAGGGCGAGCAGCCTCCGAGCGCAGGGGAGGGGCCGCGTCCGCGTCCGATACTCACGTGTCTCCTCTCCGCGTCGGTGCCGTGCTGGCCCTGGAAGCACGCGATCAGACGCTTGTGGGAATGGTGGCACACTGACCGGACCGCATCCAGGCGCCGCTCGATCTGTCCAGGCCAAGACAAAGAGCCATTTGTAGGGCTAAGGACAAACCTAGGCTCTTCTATATGCGCTGTTGTCATGCAGGTGCGAAAAGTTTTCCACGGTTTAACTTTTACCTCTTGGGTGTAGACGGGAATGGGCCCCGTTCACCTACAGCAGGGGCTCACGTTACTGACACTGGGTGGGGTGATCCGGGCAGGAGGGGTGTCCTGGGCACGGTGTTCAGCAGCATCTCCGGCCCTGCCCGCTAGATACCAGCAGTACCCCCCACTATCCAAGCTGGCACAACCAAACTGACTCTGGTCGTTGTCGGGGATCCCCAAGAAGGCAGAATCGCCCCTGGACGAGAACCACTGCTTTCCCTTCCATCGAGGGTTTTAGCTCTAATTCTCTGGACAGCTGACTCTCTGTGTGAAGGGTAAGGACAAGCTCGACTAACCCTCACCATCAGACTGAGCTCCGCACCATCACTTTACCTGACGCAGCACCAGCAAAGCCCCAGGTCCCACAAAAGCAGAACAAATGGGTGGTCCAGGCCCAGACGCACTGCCAAGCGGGCGAAGCCAGGCAGACACCCAGACGCGCCCCATACCCGGCAGTGGAGTGGACAGGCAACACATCAGGGAGAAGAACCGAAATCGTGCGCCACAATTTCAACTCAAGGTCAATGTTTTTAAAATTGTACTTTATCAGGTTTGCGTGAGCTTCTGTTTGCATTTTTCATATACCTCCAAAACAGGAAAGGATAGGCAGAGCAGAGACGCTGGCTTAGGGACACACACACCGCGAGTGGCTTCCCAAAATACTACTGCTAGGATATGGCTGTTTATGGCAAAAAGAGCTGCTTGTTACAGGAAGGAATGCCGAAAATGTGCGTTCTGATGACTCATGAGGACTGAGAGCAAGCCCTTGGGGACGCTTTCTATTTTAAAGAAAAGTCAACAGAGTCAAGGCAGAGTACATTTTGACCCCCGAATATTTCGCCCCATGAGATATTTTGTGACTCTTGGGCCCATGACACCAGCTTTTCCTCAGATCCAAGCCCAGTGTGCAGGCCTCTGACTGGCCAGCACGGGCACAGCCCGAAGGGATGCCACATCCTCTCCCCTGAACCCTCCAACGGCCAGATTTTAAAGCAGCAGAAACCCACTACACTTTATTTGCCACAAGAACAAAACAAAACTCCTTAATGCTGACCTCAATTTCCACTACGAGGTAAACTCAATGAGGCCGGGAGCCAGGCTGCTTTAGGGGGGTGCCTCAGTTCACGAGCTTAAGTCCTCCCACCATTCTTGCTGCAAACCAAATCGAATTCAATGTTGAATCTAACGACTGAATTCGATTCGGTTCTCATCCCATTCGCTTTGTGAGCAGAATCACGGAAAGAATTCAGGTCGTGAACTTACCTACGTACCACTTGCGTTCACTGATCCACCCAAGGGCCTGGCTCCCTGTCCATCAGGGCATCAACAGACACTTACTATTTGTGAATAGATAGGGTATGAATCTGTTGGGTCCCTACACTGGGTATCAGAAAACTAACTTTGGTTTCCACCCCCGTGGGAACCAAATGGCCTCTGGGAGGTCCCCACAGCCACGCTGAAGGGCAGCCACCGGAAGGGCACTAATGGAGAGCTAAGAAAGGGGAGAACAAAGCAAATCAAGAGGAATCTCACCTCCAGCGCACCAGCAGCGCACATCTCTTGGTGGCAAGAGGACTACCAACCTCTACTCTGCTGCGTCGCTAGGACTTCCCAGGTTTAACGCGCTCATCCACCCACCGCACCCATGCCGTATCCTCCCCGAGGAGGTAAGTAAATCCCTGAGGCACAGAGCGGACCACAGGCTGCAGTGGGGTTCCAACTCGGCAAGCTGGGCACCACAACTGGCACCTTTACCCATGCCTGTCTGCAGTTAGAAAGAGCAGAAACGGGCGTGGGACCCCAAGTGCAGCAGTTACGGCAGACATACGGACTACGAATCCTGATCAGACAATCGGGACTTTCACCCTCCAACAGGCTCCTGGACAGCTGTCCCCTGAGAGTGCCGTGAGGAGACTCCATCCTCCAACTGCCTTCGAGGTCCTCTGGCCGGAAGTGAGGGCGCCCGTGATTGACGGGATAATGCACATCACTCATGGAGAATGGGGAACAAGCCTGTCTCAAAAAGTCAAACCAAGCTAACAGAATAAACCCCAATCTATTATTTAAAAACCCCTTAGTCCTCAACAAATAAATGCTCTTATCAACTGGGACAGAGCTGGCGTGGGGGCACATGCCTGTAACTCTGGCACTCCGGGGGGACTGAGGCAAGAGGATTACACGTTCGAGCCTAGCCTAGGCAATTTAGTGAGACCCTGTCTCAAAAATAGGGCTGTGAGTGTAACCCAGCGTTAGAGCACAGGCTTAGCATGTGCAAAACCTTGGGTTCAATCCCCATACCACAAACAAACAAAATCAATACCAATAAATCCCAAAAACAAAATCAACTGGCCCTTGTACCTACAGGTTCACATATCTGCAGACTTAGCCAACCATGGATCAAAAACACCCCAGAAATGAAACCGCATCTGTACTTATGTACCTTCTTTCCTTGTCATTATTCCCTCAACAACAGAACATTTACCTTGCAGAAAGCGTGGTAAGTAAGCTAAAGATGATGACTACTGCACTCGAAGGATGTGCCTAGGTTGCACTGAAACACCAGCCCGTTTTATGCCACTCGAGTAGCCACGCATTTTGGCGTCTGTGGGATGGAGGGTGGGAGTCCTAGAACCGAGCTGCCCGTGGATAGTGAGGGGGAGAGTCTACCTGCAGATGACCTAATTCAGAAGGCTGTTTTGACATGCTACGGCTCAGCAGTGTTTTTCTAAATCATCGGTCCCTTTCGGACATAGAAAGGGAACAGAGCGTCTCCCAGGAGCCAGACCCTCGGCCCTCAGGGGTCCGCCTGAGCAGACCCTCCATAAGCTACAGAAGGAGACCGCACAGACCGGTACAGAGGCTTGCGCTCCCCGAGCATTCAGCTGCGGGCGGGGTGGTAAAGAGCCCAGTATCCCAGGAGAATCTCTGAGCCCCGAAGTTCCGAAAACCTGCTGCAGGTGGGCTGGGGTGGCCCTGGCCACTGGGAGGAAGGGAAGGGAAGACATCGGGGCTGATGGTCGGAGCATCCTTGGGTCAGATCTGGCTACTGCTGCGGAAAGCCCAAGTCGGTGTAGCGAACCTAAGGCACACGTGCCACAACGGGCCGTTTGTTATCACTGAAAGCTCCGAAAGGTTTGCCATCACTGGCCGAAGCTGTCGGGCCCGGCCAGCCCTCAGTGGGGGTAGCCGCGGTGTGCCAGGGACTGGGGAGTCGCTGCACCAGGAGGGAGCCTGACCCATCAAGGGCACCTTCGCAGCAGTGGGTCAGGCTCAGCCTCCCCAGGACCTGTGACCAGCCACGGGCCAGTGCCCTAACCAGGCACCCGCCCCGAACTCCTGGCTCCTGCGGGCAGGGCTGGCCCCGGCTGGACTGTGCGACACCAGGGTTTCAGAGCCCCTTTCTGTCCCCACACAGCACTGCTCCTCTGTCCTCTTCAAACCGCGCTAGTGAACGGGGTTCCACTCCCGTTCAGGCACACAACACTGCCCTCCAATTTTCAGGTTTTTAAAAAATATTTCTGTGTACTGAGGATGGAATCCAGGGCCTTGAGCACGCAAACACACGTTCTACCCCTGAGCCACATCCACAGCCCTGCATTTTTTTCACTTTGTGTATCTTCTAACAAATCACTTTAAGAAGACTTTATTTTGTTACCTGTAGCAGATCTTCACTGAGGACTTCTGTTTTCTCGGCTCTGTAGGGAGAAAAAAAGTTCAGAATCAGAAATCCGGGGATGAAAAGTAACTCATGAAACTTAAGGAATTCTTAGGCTGGGGTTTAAAACACAGC